GAAGGCCAACAGTTACCTTAATTGATGTTGGAGCTTACGTGATCAAATCACGAAACTAGGGAGCACGATCTCAGAGGAGATCTTCGTGAATATCGTACTCCAAGGGCTCGGCCCAGAGTGGCGACCCTGCAAGGCGCTTCTCCGATAGCAGGGGGTCATCTTGGAGGCCGCCCTATGCGCTGCTCTTCTCGTCGAACAACGAGATATGGACCAGCAGCGACCAGCGCCGTGACGAGAACGCCACGCCTCGCCTTCTACGCCGACAACACAGAAGAGCGCCGGCCACGGCGCCTTTACTACAAGGTTTGCAGAAACTTCGGGCACCTGGCAGATTGATGCAAATCCCGATCTCGCCCTCGCCAGACCAACCCGAGCACTTGGTAAGGCCGACAAGACGCACGGAACGACTCGCATCTAGCCCAGGGGTATCAACCCCCTTCGCGCAACTTGAACCCAACGGTTCAGCATCAGCAGCAACAGCCGCCACAGCCGGCTCCCGTCCGCAATGTCATGGGGAACATGACAATGACGAGCGAATCGCGTCGTCCCCGTGCACGCTCACCGTCACCTGAGCCAGCACCTCACCCAGTCGGAGCGTTCTCGAACAACAATCTGTTCAGCACGCTTCACAACTTCAGCGACGACGACGACCATGACTGGAACCTCCCAGTCCCACTGCTTGAGAGCCCCCCGCACGTTCCTGACACACGGGCGGCACCGATCGATTGGATCGCGCGCGAGCAGTTCCTGAAGTTTGACACATCGCACATCGTTACTTCGCGACTGGCGCTGCTCGCACGTAACGACAACATGCGCTACAACACGTGGTACCTGGATAGCTGCTCTGGGCAGCATATGGTGGGCTCCGAGCGTTACATATCCAACGCCGACGCCACCCCTGCCGTCACCTACGTCACCGTGGCGAACAACACGCACTTGCGCGCAAGCGCGCAAGGCATCGTTGTGCTCAAGGCTCGAGGGAGCAAAACGCATATCACGCTGAATGACGTGCTAATCGTGCAGAATATGCGCTTCGATCTCCTCTCGGCGGCGCAACTCATGGACTGCGGAGTTGACCTCAGCACCGACCCCGGGGCGCGCGACATCCTGCTTCACTACACGATGTCAAACAACACCCGCAAGCAGATCGGAAGAGCCCACTCAGAGAACGGAGTCTACGTTCTAGACTTCGATATTCCCGACTGTAGCGGCGATTCACAGGAGCTTATCGATCTCGTCCCCCTGCACTTCCTCCGCCTGAAATCTAACCGCAGCGCGACCCTTGGGACACCATCGACTGAGGCAACGAACCTACTACTCTGCGGTGTACTATTTTCGGGCCTGCTCCCGAACCACACGAGCCAACATTTGTCCTTGGAACCATCCCTAGAACGAATATCCCTTACTCCGTCATTCGCGACAGAGAGTTCCTTGCGTTGATGCTGACCACAGGAAATGACGATGAAGAAGAAGAAGCAGCAGCGGAACCTGCCCCAGTACCTGATGAAGACCCCGAAGTAGCACGCGCGCGCTATATGCGCACCTTTGGATTCCGCGCCGACGATGCGCTCTAGCATCAGTGCCTCGGCCACCCCTCGCGCGTCACGCTGAAGAACTGCATCGAAGCTGGCGTATTCGCACCTGGCGCACTCCTACGCCCTGATGGCACCGAAGTGAGAAGCGCAACACATCCGGGCACCTGCACCATCTGCCCCGAGGCCGCGCTGAGCCACCAGCCTTTCCCCCTGCTCGAACCTGGAACCAACCGCTACGCTAAGCTGGAAAAAATGTACAGCGACTTCCTCAATGTGGGACACTGCGGAATCGACGACGAGCTGTATACGCTCACCTTCGACGACGCTGGAACGCGGTACGTGTGGGTCGTGAACGTGGAGGCACGCAGCAGAGCGTACGAGGTGTTTCGTCTCTGGCTGGCACACGCGCAGCGGCAATCTGGGGAGAAATTGAAGATCTGGCAATCTGACGGCGCGGCGGAGTTCAGGAGCAATGAGATGCAGGATCATCTCACACAGAAGGGGATCGAGCACCATATTTCCCTCCTCTACGCGCACCAGCAGCAGGGTGTAGCTGAGCGCACGAATCGCACCCTCATGACGAAGGTGCGGGCGCTGATGAAGCAGTCGAAATTTCCGCTGATCTACTGGACCTACGCGATGCACCACGCCGTGAGGGTGCACAACCTACTGTCAACCACCGCTATCATCGGCAACCTCTCCCCACATGTGAAGTGGACAGGGACCAAGGGCGACACCTCAATGCTCCGTGTGTGGGGGTGCATGGTGCAGTATCGGCTGCCAATGTCAACCATTGGCAAGTTCAGGAGCCGCGCGCGCTGGGGAATCCACCTCGGCATTAGCCACGAGTACAAAGCGTGGCTCATCTTGGACCTTATGAGTCAAAAGGTTAAGAACTTGCGCGACGTCATCTTCTACGAGCGCCTCTTCCTCCAGCAGTTCCGCGAAGACGAGTAGGCAAACGCGAATCGCGTCTACGCCAATGACAGACACAGATATGCCACGCTGGAGGATGAAGCTGCAGCAGCCATTCTGGAGCAAGACACCAGAGGCGAGTTTACGAGAGGCGATCGTCACGACGACGACGATTCATCCTGCTTGAAATTGGGTTCAAGCAGTTGCCTCACGATCCAAGGATGTATCGCCGCGATTTCCGCAGCGAATACATCCTACTCACGGTCTACGTTGACGACCTCCTCTACACAGGATCAAGCCCCGAACTGCTTGAGCAGTTCGAGAAGAACCTCGCGGGGCGCGTTGACATCACCTGCAACCATGACGTGAAGCAGTTCCTCGGTCTCAACATCACTTACTCCCCAGAAGCTATCCACCTCTCAGCAGCCAAGTATGCAGAGGAACTTGGCAAGCGCTTCAACATCGCACCTGCACCGCTCTCCACCCCTTACCGCACTCCAGGACCCAACCACAAGCCTGACAACAAAGCCCTGTCCCCCGCTGGGCTTCAGACTTACTAGCAGCAGTTGGGATGCCAGCTCTTCACCTCTGTTACTTGCAGGCCAGACCTCTCGTGCATCGCAAGTCAGCTGGCCCAGTACTCCCGCAAGCCAACAGTTGAAAATCTCTCAGATCTTGAGCGAGCGCTTCAATTCTTCGTTTCCATCCCCAATGTTGGGCTCTACTATTCCACCATCCCAACCGCATCCTTCAACCTCATCGGATACGTGGATGCTGACCATGCTGCTGATCCCGACAATCGACGGTCCAGGACGGGCTTTCTATTTCGCCTCGAACCCAGCGGTCCCATCTCCTGGAACTCGCAGAAGCAGTAGCTGGTTGCCCTGTCATCAGCAGAAGCAGAGTTCATCGCAGCAACGGCAGCCGTTCGCGAAGGTCTTTACCTTCAATAGCTACTGCAGGAGGCGAAAATTCCAGTAATACGCTAGTACAGTAGCGCTGCTTCGCTATGAGCTGGCGCGCTAGAAGAGATCCTTCGGGAATGCTGTAATAGCCTTTCGGTTATTCCAACACTTTGCGTGGCGGTACCTTCAGTTTGATTAGTCAGTGTTTACATAGTAACCTTTTCGTACACTATAAATATTTAATTAAAACAATCACGGTGTACTATGTTTCGTTGACTCGACATCTCTCGAAATGGGATGCGCCACTCCCCCCCCCCCCCCCCCCCCGCATTTCTTCCTCTCCCCTTCTTCAGCATCCTACCCTCCCCCATCCCCCTTCCCAGCAGCCACACAAACCTTCCCCCATTGTCCCCGCTTTGTCCCCATCGTTTCTCGTCCCCCACCTGAACTGATGATCCTATCTGGGCGGCTCCCCCCTTCAAGTTCTCCCCTCCCCCTCCCCCCCTTCCCACACCTGCTCTCCCCCATTCCCCACTCCACCGTTACCTCAGACAATCGCTGCCAGCCCAAGTCCCCCAAATCCCGAGTTATCCCTTCAAACCCCGCCCGCAACCGCCCTCCCCTCATCCCCCTTCCCATTCTAGAAAGCGAATCAGCACTCAGCGTTCTACTCGAATAGAATCGTCAATAGTCCCTAACCTATTCCAGATTTTCCTCATGCAAAACAGCTGTCGTCTTCAGTGTTTATTGGGAGTTAGCAACCGCCATTCTTGAATCTACAGTATCAGTCTGTCAGAAGCGCAGCTTGCATGTCCTCCAAAAGACCTCGGTACTCGTTAGTGGCGACTATCCTTCGCGACCTTTGCGGAAAACGCGTTATCTTGGACGACCAATCGGAAGCCGAGATTATAGAATCCTGCCATGTGCGATTGTCACGTGTAGGAACAGTACGCTGCGACGCCGGTCGCGAACTAACTGACGTAACCAGGGCGGCATTCGTTTCGCAGCTCTCGATTTTCTTGTCACAATGCCGCCATTACCATTTCAGGTGACATGGTCAGTGTCACATGGCACAAAGGATCGCGATTTCGCTCACGTGCCTTTCTTGCCAGCGCTGCCGAACAGACGAAGCGCACTACCCGCGCGCTCGAAGATGATTGGGTGCTGTCGCGTCGCGCGAGCTGCACGTAGCTGGCGGCACATGCTGGCCGTCTGTTTCGGCCAGAAATCGTTGGAAGAAACACACTGTGCTACATGTGCTGGAGAAACAACAGTGCTGACACCCATGCTGGACTCGAATCTCGAGCCAAGCTGGAGTTGAACTCTTGCCAGCTTAGGGTATCTTTGCCAAGCCTCCTCCTCGACGCGGCAATCCAGGTAATCCCGTACCCAAGCTCCTATAAAGCTTCGGAAAGCGCTCAACACTCTCATGTCTTGACTGGTTCTTCGTAATCACCTTGTTACTAGCTGCTTCCGTTCAAGCGCCCAAGTTGCCCCGTCATTGCATTATTACAACTACCCCGTCAGTCCGCCATAAGCCTGACGAGCCGCCCGGCCTGCCCCTCTCTCCTTTAAATCTGCTGCTCCGCTTCGCCTCCCTCAGCAACCGCAGCGCCTTTGCCCGTTTCTCCCGCAAATTATCATAATGATGGCGGCCGCTGATGGCGATTACCTCCGCTTTCTCATCGAGAACAAGCTCCTCTTTTACCCCCCGTATGTTCAACATGATAAGTCGTCGTGCCGCGGCGGTCTGCGCGTTCCGCGCCAGCAGCACATCGGCTTGAGCGGAACTGCCGCCGTCGGCGCATCATCCCTTCCCCTCAGAAACGAACACGCCGCCGCGGCGAGGGGGGTTGACATCGCGGCCGCATCCAGCGGCTCTGCGCGCGGCTCTTCGCACGGGCACACCGATTCAATGAACGCGGAACGACTCCGAGCGGCCATGATAAGCGGAGCGGCTTCCAGCGGCGGAATCGCGCCGGATTCCAGCAGCGCATTCACCTGGCCGCTGCCCGTTACCGCCCAGCGGCGGTGGGCGGAGGAGCCGCGGAAGAGGCCGCGGGAGTCAGAGCCGGCGGTTCAGCCATGGCACAAGGGCTACAGAGTGCCTTGCATGCCGATGGAGTTAGAGCCAGCGGTTCAGCCTGAGCTGCACAAGAGCTACGGAGTGACTTGCATGCCAATGGAGGCGCCTGGTCATTCTGGGGCGCCTCAAAGAAACTCTTTTATTCCAGAGCTGCCTCAAAGGGCGTCTCATGTCTCTCAGCTGCCCGAAAGGGCACCTCTTGTCTCTGAGACGCCCCAAAGAGCATCCATTCACACCATTACTTACAACAGTAGACCGCACAGTCACAGCACCGGCCTCCTTCCTAGACCCCGGCGTTGCTGGACCCAGCAAGGCGAGGCTCAGGCGCAGCTCTCCCGGGAATCCGCCGCTGCATTGCTGGACGTGCTGGACGGAAGTAGACTGCACAGCAACAGCACCGGCCTCCTTCCTACACCCTGGCGTTGCTGGACCCAGCAAGGCGAGGCTCAGCCTGAGGCGCAGCTTTCCCGGGGATCCGCCGCTGCATTGTTAAATCTGCAGCGCGCCTGTGCCTTGCGCAGGTGGGAGCGATCGTGGGTTAGTCATAGACCCCCCGCCGCCGCCGCTCTGGCGGAGGTAGGAGCCACCCGGAGTGCAGCCACACAGTGTGCTGGTGGTGATGCTAGTCCCCAGGGTCAGGACCTCCTGGCGGAGGTAGCAGCAGCAGCAGCTGCACAGAGTTGGGACGGACGACTGCTGGCGGAGTTGGGAACCACCCGGAGTGCTGGTGGTGCTAGCCCCCAGGGTCACGATCTCCTGGCGGAGGTAGCAGCAGCAGCAGCTGCACAGAGTTGGGATGGGGGACTGCTGGCGGAAACCATGGGCGTGAGGGATGGGGCAGGGGAGCGAAGCCGGGGAAGATCTATAGGACGAGGGGGGAGTGGGGGACGAGGGGGATGCAGGGGAAGCGAGGGAAGGGCGGCAAGGGCGGGAAGTTGGCCCATTTGCTTCAAGAACAACGGGGAATGTGTCGCTGGTGAGGGGAGGAATCTAAGAACTGCCTCCGTGTGGCACGACGAGATTGGCTCGCGTGACTGGCAGGAGCAGCAGCAGCAGCAGCTACAGCAGCAGCTGCTGCAGCGACAGCAGCGGCAGCAGCAAGAGGAGGACATGCAAGCACATGCCGCAGAGGGTATTTCACCACAGCAGAGTCCCTTAACCCTTCAACAGGCATTCAAAGAAGGCATTGAACGCCTGCTACACTCCGTCACCCTCCCGCCCCCTCCCTCTCGCCCTGCTGCCAACGTGCTCCCTGTCAGCCTTCTACTAGAAGCTCTAGGCCCACACACAGCCTCAGCCGCTGCTGCTGCTGGCCTTTCATCTCAATCCGCTGCTGCTGCCACTCCCGACCCATGCAACAGCCCGCCCGCCCGCCCCGCTACAGTCACATATCTTGAGAGAAACCCAGGATCAGCCAGAAGCCCAGCGGGTGGGTCAGTGGATCTTTCCCTTCGCCTGGGGCTGAGCCTAGAGCGAGAAGAGACAGAGAGAGAAGAGAAAGGGGCTGCAGGGGGGAATGATGAGGGAAGTGCGGGGGGAGCAGCAGAGCAGAGGGGGGAGCCATTGGTGTCCATGCCAGGCCATCAGTGGTACGCCCCTTATGGGGGATGCACCTCGTGTGTAGTCGGGTCTGATAAGTCTCAACTCTCGTCACAGTTGCCACAGTCAATGCAGTCAATGCAGTCCTCACAGCCGACGCTGCCGCCACAGTCGCCACAGTCGCAGTCCTCACAGCTGACTCAGCCGCTACAGTGGCCACAGTCAGCTTTTGCAGCATCGCGCGACCCCATGTTTCGTTCCAAGTCTGCTGCCACTGCCACTGCTGCTGCTCCTGACGCTGATCCTGTGGCTGGCGCTTCTATGGGAGTGCATGAGGGGTATGCACTGGCACGGGACAACATCTGGGAGTGCGAGACTGCTGGTGCTGGTGCTGCTGGTGGTCCAGAGGGGGACATCTCCCGTGGTGAGAGCAGGAGTAGAAGTGTGTATGAGCGCCATGCACTGCTGTACCAAGTCAACCTGGATCGCCACATGAGGGGCGAGGGGAGGATGAGGGGTGAAGGGGAGATGCCTGTAGCATTTCTGTGGGGCTGACACGTGTGAATCTGCTGCGGCTGCTGAAGCAGGGCGGACGATTTCTTGTTGTGAGAGCAAGGGAGGGAATGTATGTGAGGCCAATGCTCTGCTGTACGAGCGACCTGGACTGCTCTGCTGGATCGCCATATGAGGGACGAGGCGAAGGAAGGATGAGAGGCGAAGGGGTTCAAGGCAAGGCTTCCGGCTGGGAATAAAGCAGTGTGAGTTTGCTGGTGCTGCTGCTGCTGGCACAGGGGGGGGAGACCACGGCATTCGGCTGGGAATAATACAGTGGGAGTCTGCGGGTGCTGCTGCTGGCAAGGGTCATTACAGCTGCAGCCTTTTCCAATTTGCATCCCCTTGCACAGGCGGCCTGTTGGCATGTGTTCTCATCTGGCCACCACCAACACATGCCGTTCCCACACAGAACTGCCCATTCATATATACCCATAGTATTGCTGTGTATATATTATGTGTTCTTAATAATATCTATCATGAGCATCCGTTGCTGACAAAGAGGGAGCTTCAGCACATTGGAACCAGGCGTGAAATGTTTTCCAGTACCTCGTGCTAGTGCACCATCATGCAGGGTGTTAAGAACTAAGGCAAGAATGCTTAGATTAGGTCAAGGTTTGGGTACAAGACTAGGGTGTCGAGAAATTTTGTGTACCCCCTAAGGCTATCCCCAATATAGCCTAGATAATGATATGCATATGTTTTGACACACCCCCATAGGCGAAATGGGGGATAGCCAGAGCAAGCAACGGTCACAAGACCAGTCAAGAGAAGAAACAAAACACAGCTCAGGGTGGATCACAACGTCACCACACACATTGACCACAAGCAAACGGCCACAAGGCTAGTCCACATGCAGAGGTATACAAGCAACAAGAACAGCACAGTGATCTCTAGCAAGCAAGAGCAAGCATGCAGGTATATATATAGATCACAGCACAAGCAGAGACTACAGCAAGTGTGGAAACGTAGGCACAAGGCCCAACAAAGTACAAAAGCGCTGATGGTCACTAGACGGAAGTGCCTTGGTAAATATATCAGCAGTGTTGGCCCGAGTGGCCACGTGAGCAAGGCGAAGCTGACCCCGCTGCTGCAACTCTCGAGCCAGGAAGTAACGCAGAGCGATGTGCTTCGTTCTGTGCTCCAGTCTGTGCTCCTGACACAAGGCAATGGCGGCCTTGTTGTCTACGTACAGAACTGGAGGAGAACGAGGCCGCTCTCCCAGGTCGGTCAGCAGGTAGGTGAGCCAGCGTAACTCCAGTGCAGCCATGGCTGTGGCGTAGATCTCAGCCTCACAACTGGAGCTGAGAACAGAAGACGAGCGTGTAGACTGCCAAGAAACAGAGCCAGAGCCAAGGCTGAACGTGTAACCCTGTGACGACCGCTGTGTAGCCTGGTCGTCAACCCAAGAAGCATTTGAGTGCCCAGTGAGGACAACTGGACTCCGCCCTCCAAGCACGAGCCCCATGCCCGATGTACTGCACAAGTAGCGCAGTACCCTCTTAGCAGCATCCATGTGCACCTTTCGGTGCCGACCAGGAGCCACGTAGCGAGCCAGAAGGCCAAGAGGGTACGCAAGGTCAGGACGAGTGCAGGTCATCAGGTACATGAGGCAGCCCACTAGCTTTGGGTAAGGACCACTCGGCTCTACGGACTCGTCCAAAGGTGGAGCTGAGAGCAAGTGACCTGTAGCCAGAGGAGTGTGCTGTGCTGAGGACCAAGTGAAGCCGAAGCGCTGAAGGACCTGCTGCACCATGTGTGACTGAGTCAGTGTGATGGTGCGGCGTGCTCTGTCCCGGGTGATCTGCAAGCCAAGGTAGCTGCGCAGCTCACCCAGGTCTGTGCACGTGTGTCTTTTCTGTAGCTCCGACTTCACCAGGGCGAGAGCCTTAGTGTCAGCAGTGGCAAAGACCAAGTCGTCGACGTACACGAGGATGTAGAACGGTGGCAGCGAAGTGTCAGTGCGCAGAAACAGCGACGGGTCAGCAGTCGAAGGAGCAAACCCAAGAGCCGCAAGTGTCGTCCTCAGTGTGTCGTGCCACTCACGTGGCGCCTGGCGGAGACCGTAGACCGGCCGCCGGAGGCTCCACTGGGTACCAGGAGGGAACGACCCAGTGAAGCCGGGTGGGCGGCGCAGCCAGATCTCCTCGTGCAGGCTGCCCTGTAAGAAAGCTGTGCTGAAGTCAAGCGAGTGAAGCTCGTAGTCACGCTGAGCGGCAACGTGCAGCAGAACCCGAAGAGTGGTCATCTTCGGGGTGGGGGAGAAAGTCTGGAAGAAGTCAACTCCCTCTCGCTGACTGAAACCTCGAGCAACATAACGAGCCTTGAAGACAGGCGGAGAACCTGGCGGCCGCTTCACCCTGAAGATCCACATGCCACTGACGATGTTCGCCCCAGGAGGGGGAACCTCATCGACGTACGTGCCTGTGGACTTCCAGGATGCCATCTCTGCGTCCATGGCTATCTGCCACTGAGAGGAGTACTCACCCGCGATCGCCTCAGCGTAAGAGCGCGGGGTGGGGATGTCTGGTGCATCCGGGTCTCCCTCAGGGGCAAGCAGCATGGCCACGAGATGAGGCGCAGCGGCTGCAAGACACTCAAGGTCCCCGTGCCTGTCCTCAAGGACGTCCGTGCTAAGAGCACACTCACCCCCGACGGACGGAGGACAGACAGACTCAGACTCAGCAACAAGACTAGCAGCGTAGTCTAGACGACAGGCAGCAGCAAAGTCGACAAGCTCAGCGACTAGGGCAGACGCAGCAGTGGACTCAAACGTCGGGTCAGTGAGAACAGTGACTAGCAGACGCGTGACAGTAGGGTGCTCAGTACGAAACTGGTCAGACTCAGGGTCCGCAACGACAGGCAGAGAAGACGCAGGAGGAGACGGCAGAGGAACACTCTGCGGAGGAGAGGAAGGACGACGGACTACAAGGGAAGGGCCGGGGACAGCGAGCTGACTCTGACGAGGAACACGACGACTGGACCGGCCAGAACGGACAGGTGAGACAGGACGCGACGCAGGCTCACGACGCTCAGTAAGGCCCCCTGTCTGCTCAGCGTAAGGAGAAGGAGCAGGCAGAGGTGAGCCAGGCTGTAACGGAAGACCAGTAGACGACGGGAGGCTAAGAACATGGCGAAGTACGGAGTCAGGCGGTGGCAGAGACGACGGAGACGGCGGAGCAAAGAACAGGCGCGGCTATGCAGTGCCACCAGCACCAGCAGCTCCAGCACCCTCAGCAGCTCCTGCACCTCCAGCAGCTCCAGCACCCTCAGCAGCTCCAGCACCTCCAGCAGGTCCAGTACCCTCAGCAGCTCCAGTACCTCCAGCAGCTCCAGCGCCCTCAGCAGCTCCAGTGCCTCCAGCAGCTCCAGTACCTCCAGCAGCGCCAGCACCCTCAGCACCTCCAGCCCCTCCTGGTGCAGCACCCCCAGAACCGGCACCTCCAGTCCCAGGGTCTCCAACCGCAGTGCCACCAGCAGCAGTACCCCCAGACACACCACCGCCAGCCCCAGCAGCTCCAGTACCCCCAGTACGAGCACCTCCAAGACCAGCGACACCAGCACCTCCAGCAGGCAAATGACCAGCACCACTCCCAGCTCCAGTGACGCCAGCAGAAGAACCCCCAGCAGTAGAGCCCTGAGGTGCAGAAGTGCGACGCTGACGGCGACCGTACCAGTCGTGCAGCTGCTGGGAGGTGAGAGGCACACGCGGACGAAGACGGCTACTTCAAGGAGACCGCGTAACAGCAGTCTCAGAACCCTCAGGCGACTCACCCCCAGACCCAGCACCCCCAGGCTCCGCACACGGAGGCGCAGCACCCCCAGACGCAGCACCCCCAGGCTCAGGACCTCCAGGCTCCTCACGCGCAGGCTCAGCACCTCCAGGCTCCGCACCCTCAGGCTCCTCACGCTCAGCACCCCCAGCCTCAGCACCCCCACGCTGCGCACCCCTAAGCTCCGCACCCCCAGGGACAGCACCACTCCCAGCAGAACCGGAGTCACCAGTGACCTCAACAGGCGCAGGGACGGGAGGGTCTACCTGAGAAACACCTGAAGGAGCAGGGCCTGGCGCAGGGAGGGGGCCTGGGGCGAGAAAGAGCGGCGGGAGGGGGCGAGGAGCAGTGCGGTAGGGGAAGAGGCGGTAAAAGGGGACCGACTCGTCAAAGGTGACGTCCTGAGACGCAAAGACACGGCGCGAGGCGGGGTCGTAAAACTGCCAGCCAGGCGCGTCAGGGACAAAGCCAAGGAAGACGCAAGGAATGGCGCGAGGGGAGAGTTTGTCCGCAGTGGTATCGCGGACAAAGGCACGAGCACCCCAGACCCGGAAACGCGACACGTCGCCAACCTTCCCCGTCCACAGCAGTGTGGGCGAGGTCTCCGGCAAGGAGACACGGGGCCAGAGGTTGAGCTGATGCGCGGCGTACCAGGCCGCAAACGGCCACAGAAAATGGGGGGCAGCCGCATGGATCATGGAGGTACGAGCGACCTCCATGACCAAGCCAATGCGGCGCTCAGCAACCCCATTCTGCTGCGGAGAGGCCGGAAGCGTGAAAGTCTGGCGGATGCCGTGCTCCGCACAGAAGGCCGCCAATGGTCTGAGGAGAACTCACCACCTCTGTCAGAGTGCAGACGCAGGACAGGAAAGTCCGACTGGAACCGCTCGCGGAGCTGGAGACGAGCAGCGCGGATCCAGGGGATCAAAACATCAGGGACATCCCCCTTGCGCTGCAAGGGGAAGACCGTGGTGTAACGCGTGTAGTCGTCGACAACCAGCAGGAAGTACCGCTCGTGGCCCTGTCCACGGACGCGGGCTGGGCCCCACACGTCCAGGTGGAGAGTCTGCAGGGGAGCCTCTGTGGGAGGGAACGAGGAGGAGTGAGGAGCGGCGCGCTGCCGCCCCTCGACGCAAGGAATGCAGGGCAGCGCAGGCAAGGGAGGGAGGGCAGGCAGAGACCTGGGAAGACCAGAGACCAGGAAGCGAGAGTGCATGCTACGCAGGCGAGGCAGGGAGGGGTGACCAAGGCGGTGGTGCCACAGGAGAGTGTCGTGCGACAACTGGCGACACTCACACTGGGTAGCTACCTGAGCAGACGCGTGTAACTGGGGAGACAAAGGGGCGGAGCGTGATGCAGTGGT